ACTGCGCACTTCTTGGGAATAACTTCGTTTCTTATTTAATTCGGAATGTGAAAAAATAAATAAAATCACTACAAGTTCAGCATATCCAATCGTACATGTCAGCAGCTGAAGCGCATTTAACCGTCACCGCAATACAATTAAATGGTGTAATGAACTGCCAGCCGGTATTAATTATCTACATCAGACCGCACACGTGCACCGTAGGGAAAATTATAATTTGTAAGCGAAAAATATTTAAAAATAACTACAAATAAGTGGGGGTTTCAGTTTATATGCCAATATTTACAGATTAATATATATGTATGTATGTACGTCTCCTGAATTCGAATTCCACGAAAATGTTTAAAGCAGAAGCTGTGCAAAATGAAAATAATAATTTCTGTAAGGAATGCCACCAAAAGGGAATAAATTGAATTAAAATGCGCGCAAAAAATGCAAAAAAAAAGCAAAAGTGTCAAGCCTCTGATGGCAGCAGCTGAGCGTGCGACAAGCGGCGCATGAAAAAGCACGACAACAAATCAGTGACGATCCTTAGGATTTCTGCAGATTAAAATCTTTAGCCGACTTTGGGCGTACACGCAGTTAAACGAAATAAAAAACAGAAATCAGAATGAATTAAAACAATAAAAAAGGCGCTAAAAGCATTTAGCGCGAAATGAGATTTGTTAAGCGATTGCGGATATCACAGGTGTGGCAACTAAGGGGCGTAGACGGTGTTGATGCTGAGTGTGAAAACTGGTTTCCTTGCACACCAATTTTTTATGCATGCAAATAAATATATATATATCGGCAAATGTGCGAAATTGCATGTATTTGCTCACACAATAATTTTTACATGGCAGCTGCATCCTAAAACTATTAAATTACAAAAAATCAAAAAATTGCAAATCACCATTGTAGATGCGTTTTTGCACACACTGTTATGGGTAGCAGACAACTGATGTCGCGAGTTTATTTATTTTGATTGCGGCATGCGCAAATGTGTCAAATACTTTAAATGGAAAAATGTTAAAAATAATTTATAAAAAAATTTAAAAAAATCAGTTTTTTTGTTACCAAAAATGTTACAGAAATTTCAATAGGGTGCAGTTAAAAATAATAATAATAATAAAAGAAATAAGAGATTAAATAACTTAAATATTTTCTATATGTTTTCCCAAGTTTGCACTTTTTGTGGTGGCAGCTGTTTTCAGCAATTGCGGAAATTATTTTTGTACGTTTATAAAAAAAAGTAGTTGTACAAAGTATTTGTCAGCGTAGTGCTGAAACAGCTGTTAACGAAGCTTATGCAATATTCAGCATATAAAAGTTTTATACAAATAAAAGGCTATCAAGCTGGTAAATATTTATAATTTTATAATTTTGTTTTGCGCAAAGATCGGCTGCGACATATGTATGTAGATATTTATATAAGTGTATAAAATATTCTAGTCTCTCAGTTCATATTACGGTTTTCTACTGGTATCTTGAAACACTATCCTGGGACGAGCATATGAAATACTTCTGTTATTCCCTTTAGTTTGTTCATAATTTCCGAAATTAGTTAAATGGATTTATGTAGTTATAGTGGCACTTTAAAATAAAAACCGATCTAACTCGAAATGTTTCGAAATTACTCTCATTTAAAAATTTAAATATACCGTTGTTTTTAAGCCACTTGTCATGGTATGGTGGTGCTTAGAAACCCTATAATATTGGTCATAAACACTCTTATAAATCCACAAAGCTCTTTGAGCCGAACACAAGTTCGTTGTGGTAGCTAATGCCAGTTTCCGCTATTTTTCCTGATTATGACTGCCGAAATGTTTTAATCTCAGTCTTGCAAAGGCTGGACAATGGAGATGAAAGTGCTTGGATGTTTGCACCTCACCTTCTTCCAAACAATTTTGGCAATTTGCGTCCGACTGGATTTTTACCCTTACAGCATGAATGACTATTGGACAATGATCAGTCAGAACTTCTACGATTGCGCCAAGATGAACTTTGCCAAAGGCACGCAATTCCGTAGATCTCTTACGTTCTACTCTAGGACAAAAGGATCGCGTAGTCTCACAGAAGCTAGTCGTCGACCAACCCTGCTAAGCGCACGCGAGATCTATAAGTGCAGTGCTAGAACTCAAGAGGAGAACGGAGATCCAACTCGTCCCCATTCCGATGTGAGCGGTATACGGGTGTACCCAAACAAGTCTGATAATGAAGTAGTTTGATACTATTTCTAGTATAGTATCGCCGCTGACAACTGAAACGCTATGATTTCAAAATTCATTCTTCAATTGCGATATTTAATTTTGACGATTCATAAATTAACTTTTTTGTTGAGATCAATTAAAAAAAAGCTTAGTGTAATTTAGAGATTTTCTATTCTTTCTTTTCCCACCACAAAAATAATTCAGCAAATAATAAATAGTAGTAGATTGAGCTTTCATTAAGCTTTCTTAAGCATACGCTTTTTTAAATGTGTGAAAGCTGTTTAGGTGAGAAATTTACAAACTTCTCCCTACTAAAAAGCAGTAGTCAGAGCACTAAAAACACTTAATAGCCACCAATAAAGCCATAAGTATACTAAGTATTTAGTAATAATTACTCAATTCCTCGAAGATATAGAATTCAGTTGTCATTCTAACTATGTAAACAATTTTATGTCTTGCATTGATAACCCATTTTTAACTGATGTGTAATCATCGGCTATTTACTTTCTCAAAATCAAGCAATGTCTGACAAGTTGAAGGTCAGCGGCATGTCAAAGGCGCAAACATCATAAAATTAGTATTTGTTATTAACAAATAAGGAAGGGCTAAGTTCGGATGTAACCGAACATTTTATATTCTCGCAAAGTCAAATGGTATACTATTATATATATTCAGTACCTAGGGGCTTGACCAGTTTTGGTTCAATTTAGATAATTTTTGGTCACAAGGTGGCATACTTTAAATGTATTATTCGCGCAAAGTTTTACGCCGATATAATCATTGTTGCTTGATTTGCACACTGGAAAGTGAAAAAATCAGATGGAATTTAAAATGATGTTATATGGGAAATAAAATCCGATTTTGCCCATTCGTACTGTGCCCGCCCACTATCTAATTTTGAACGTGGTTCCTATAAAATCATCTTATACAATCCCAGAGATAAAATTTAATGTCTCTGGCTTGTTTAGTGCTTGATTTATCGCGCTTTTAGTAGTTTTCAACAGTACCGTTATATGGGGAGTGGGCGGGGTTGTCACCCGATTTCACCTACAAGGTGCGTTCCAAAGTAAACAGTACAAGAGTAACAAAGTAGACTCTAGTGGCGCCATCTATATGTCGACTAGTGCGTTAGAATCTGCTATCCTTTATCCACTATTCTTCCAGTAAAAATTTCATGACATTTCATCTATTGGAAGTGAAGTTATTGCGTTTTAAGTGTCAGTATGTTTTTGTCATCGGTGCGAAAATGAGCTTCGAAGAAAGAGCCAACATTAAATTTTGTTTTAAAATTGGTAAAACCTTTACCGAAACGTTTAAATTGATGAAACAAGTTTATGGCGATGATTGCCTATTCCGTAGCAGAGTGCATAAGTGGTTTCAACGTTTTCAAAGTGGTCGTGAGGACATAAATGAGAAACGAGCCGAAACCCAAAAAATCGCGCCTGGAGAAGACAAAAGTGAAGACAATGCTGATTTGTTTTTATAATTCCAAGGGTATTGTCCACGTTTGGGGCGCCGTATTCGACGTGTTCAGCCCGAATATCGCGAAGATGGAAGTTGGCGTTTGTTGTACGATAATGCGCCGTCTCATTGATCGACGTTTGGGGCCAATTAGTTGACCAAAAATCGCATTTTAACAATCAACCACTCCCCGTATTCACCTGATATGGCACCGTGCGACTTCTACCTTTTCGGAAAAATGCATTTGCCAATGAAAGGAAAGCGTTATGCAGACGTGGAGGCCATTCAAAAGGCTTGCACCGGCATACTGGCGGCCATACAGGGCAACGAGCTAAAACACTCGTTCGACATGCTTTTGGACCATGCAAAAAGCTGTATTAAAGCAGAAGGAAACTTTTTTGAATAAAATTAATTGATTTTGCCGATAAAACCATTTGTTCTGTCTTTTTTTTAAAAGTCCTGTTTACTTTGGAACGCACCTTGTATTTTCACATCGTCGATAGAGATGCTAAAAAAATTGCTCCCGGTGAATTTTGTTATTGTAGCTTCAGTGGTATAAGAGATATGCACATTAACCTGTATATTTATTTGTTTTTGTGTTCGTGGCATGGGCGTGGCAGTGGTCCGATTACGCCCATTTGCAATACCAACCGTCTTACGGTACCAAGAAACATGTCTACCAAGTTTCATAAAGATATCTCAATTTTTACTCAAGTTACAGCTTGCACAGACGGATGGACAGACAGACAGTCACCCGGATTTCAACTCGTCTCTTCATCCTGATCATTTATATATATTAATAACCCTATATCTAACTCGATTAGTTTTAGGTGATACAAACAACCGTTAGGTGAACAAAACTATTATACTCTGTAGCAACAAGTGAGAGAGTATACAAATTCTCAGCGAAACTAAGTGCTATAACCACAATTGCAGTATGCCAAAAATTAATTATAAAGGAAATTCTTAAAATTAGATTTTCTAGTAATAATATTAATCGTAAATTAATCACAGCTGCATAGAGCAAATATTGTATTTTTGAGCTGTTAATAACGCGGTTATATAAATACGTACATATAAAAACCATTCAATTTTTTAATTCTTATAAAAAGCGCGTCAATCATATTGTGGTTTGTGGGTAAAGTCAAGAATATGACAAAATTAAATGAAGTAATAGGAGTTCTTTAATCTTTAGGTACATTTATAACTTGTATAAAGCTTTTTTTCCCAAAAAAGAAAAACAATTCCAAATTTATACGCGTCACTGGCTGACTAACATGTACCAATAAAGGTTCTTAAGTTGGGCTTAACATCCTAAAGAACTATTTCAGAAAATGAATAGTAACTCACTGAAAATACTTATTAGCCGATTTTCAACTGCTGCTTTTCTTAAAATATATAATCGTTATAGAACACCATAAATTTCGCCGAACTCACAGAAAATATTTACAATATCTTTCAGGTCCTGGCTATCACATTCCACAAATGCAAGAAAATAAATATTATTTCTTCCTCGAACTCACAGAAATATTTATTAGCTGATTTCAACTTTGTTGTTGCTTTTCTTAAAATATATAACCAATTTTATACACCTTAAATTTTCCGAAGTCACAGAGAATATTTATAACATCTCTCAGGACTTGGCTAACACATGCCACAAACGGATTTCTTCCAACAGTAAACACTTTCCCCGCACACACAGAAAATATTTGAGACAATTTTCACTAGGTTTTAGCTTTTTTTAAAATATAATATATGTATAACCGTTATAGCACACCTTCTATCGTTTTTCGTGTTATTTACTCACAACTAAAACACAAAGAATTTTTATAATTCTAATTTGCACCAGTTTTTACTGTTATTGTTTTATTGTAGAGCGCATAATTTCGGTATATTGGTAGCTTTTATTGATTTGAGTTAAATATTTGCATGTATTTTGTCATTTAGATGTCAAAGCGACTAACTAATACACATGCAAAGTAATTTGAATAAAGGCACATACCAATATACATACCAATATAAATATGTACTTATGTATGTTTAGCCTGTTTAATTTCAGTTAGCTTATGTCGATTTGAATGTCAACGTCAATTATTATTATTTTTTTTATTATTGTAACTTTTTTTATTTTATTTTAGCTTTGGAAACCCCACATCGCCGCTACAAAAATGTAAAAAGGCACGTACAAATCTGGTTATATACGAGTGTTCAATGTAAGTAGTAGTTACAAATATTTTATCAATTTTATTTGACGCATTTGGCAAAAATACACTACATATTTAAAAAAAAATAATTTTTTTTGTTTTGATATTTTTGTTATATGTATATATGTTTAAATTTTTTTAATTTGTAAATATTAATACATATTTTTTATATTTTTTTAAATATTATTTTTATACATATTTTTTTAAATTGATTTATATTTTTTAACTCCACTATTTAAACACATACGAAATTCACACAGAAAATTTACTATTTTAAGCGTATTTCTCTGAAAATCGTTACTCTAGGTCAATTAGTTCGCACGCCGACTAAATATCGTAAAATATAGTATAATACATTTTTCTAACACACATTTTTAAATACATATACACTGCTACTAGGTTTTGTTAGCACTTGTTATTGTTGTTTAATAACTTTTTTCACATACAATTATTTTCCTCGTTTCTATCGTACACTTTCCTCATTTGAGTTTCGTTTATAACTGTTGGACTTGGCCTCAAGGCAGTTTAGTTTTAAACTGTTTAACAAATTCTCTACTCTGTTGCTCAGCTGTTTTACCTCGTTTATGTACGTTGATACACTCACTCGTTCCGGTTGAATGCTGCTTGTTGATCGGCGATCTTGGCTCTTGGTTGTTTACTCAAATGTGGCATCGCTTAGTTCGGCGCATGGAGTGCCGCCAACTACTCAGTCACTTCTGTGTATAACAGTAAACTTGGTCAAGTGATAACGCGCTCTGCGTACGCTTCATTGGTTAGCACAATGTGGGCGCTCGTGCGTTCAGTGAAAGAGAGCAGTTACATACAAAGCAGCAATATTTATGAGAACCATAGTCAATGGCGACAGGTGAAAAACAGGTGAATTCAAAAGCTTTGGCTTCATGAAAAAGGCGAAAAATTTATGGAACATTCTAGATTACGTGAGGTTTGAGTATTTGCTAATCTTCGCATTTTCTATACCATAACACTTTCTGATTTTCTTCTTTTTAATTAGCGCTATAATCTCCGAAGTTTTATTTCATATAGCGAATCACTAATTCTTCTCTCTAAGAAAACTTCAAGAGCTGATTCATCGGGATTATAAGACAAGACAGCTAATAACCAAACGAGACGTTAGAAAGCTATTATATATGGATAATAATCTAGACCACTTATTACATCTCAACATATCCTTATTTCAATTCCAAGTTATGTAAATCTTTTATCAATAAGTTTAAGTTTTTTTTTTATTTTTACACCCAATTTTTGTTTTTCAAAATCTAATAAAATTTTTTTTTTATATAAAACCTCTTGCCTTCCCGAAGAAAAACTAAAATCTTCTTCTGATTACTATTCTTGTGGATTTCTGAATGCATACTTTTGGATATATTAAGACTTACATATAACAAAATGAAATGCTAACATCAATATCAACAGATGAATATGATCATATTTTTCTATTTTGTCGAAGTTTTGTTAAGCTTTAGTGAAGGTATATATGTAAAAAAAAACAGATATAATAATTTCAGTAAGTATCTGAGTATTTTAATTTTTGTCTTAAACAATCAACTTCACGATAAACTCACTGTCAGATTCTAAAAACTCAGACAGCGCTAGTTTGTGTGCCTAAGGTTTCTCTTAACGAATCGATTTGGATGTCAGCTTTAAAAATGCAAAATGTCAGTTAATATTTCTTAAACTCTTTATACCCCGAACTTAATATACTCTTGTTTTACGTCTGAGATCCTATAGCGTTTATATATGTATAAATGATCAGTGCGACGAGCTGAGTCGGTTTAGCCATGCCCGTCTGTCTATACGTGAAACTGACCGATAGAAATAAAGATATAGCTCCCCTTTTATACTAAAAGAAATGCACCTGTCAAAGGTATTATAGATTCGGTGCAGCCGATGTTAACGGTTTTTTTTGTGCCGATTTAACGTTGGGTACAAAATTTGTCGTGAAGGCCTTGTTTACTAAGTTTTAGAGTTTTGTTCTCTTTCACAAGAGAGCAGCTCTTAGTTACTTAATCACTCTCAATTGATCAACTCAGCTTCTTCAATTACTCCACGCACTGCAGCGTTGCATTACAAAAAAATGCATACATGCGTATATACGAATAAACAACAATGTGAGTATGTAAACATATACAGTGCGTAATTTTCTTCGCCGACGCTTTAGCAGTGATAATGCAACACTCCATACGTACATACATACATATTTAATGCAGTGCCGGTGACAGATAACGAATATGTGTGCATGGATATGTGCTTGGCGCCGACAATGCTAATGTCGGCAATCTGATGCGATAATTTGCAATCACTGTCACCTAATTATAAAACAAATATGTATTTATGTTGGTTACTTGTAAATATGTCAATATTTTGTACTAGCAAATTACAAGTTGTGAATTTTATCAAGAACTAATGCACTTGTACAGGGAGTGGTTCAATAAGGGCGTGTGAACTTATTTCAAAGAATCACTCCGAAATTATGTGTCACGTGGAAGTCTCTAAAATTCCCCCTAAAAGTAAATAATAAATTGCATACTCCTTCGTATTATTTTGGGGCGGCGTTCCATTTCTCAGCAAGAGATTTGTTTGTGCACAATTAAGGTGAGGTATTGCTGCCTATTTAAAGAGTCTTTCCGGGGTAAGCAGGGGTAATGTGTAGAACTTGGATTACCATCTGATCAAATTAGACCCGACTGCCAAAAGAGAAACTACATTTTCATATATTTTAATACAAATCTGTCTTACCGCCTTCAAAATAGCCTACAAAGCCAATACAAGCATGGGCTGGTACAGCTTTCAGTGCATTCAGTGAATTTTGATTTTTTTGGTTTTCACTAGATTGCTGGACACTTTCGATGTAGTATTTATAAACCCAAAAAAGGTACCTAGTCATGATGTCATCATAGTCATTAGATATATGCAAAGTTACGGTGTCAAACATCTCGTTTGCGATCTATCTCGACGTCGTTTTTGAAAAAAATTCAGGTCTTTTGATACAAGTCTAATATTGAAATGCTTAATACCCAAAACATTAACTAAAATGTTCTGAGTCAGTTCACAAGAGAATTTGAGATCCTCTGCTATCTCTTAAATGCCAACACGACGATTTTCAAGCGCGGATTCTTTAACTTTTTTGATGGTGTAAACAGAGATGGATTGATGACTCGCATGAGGTTTTTGACGACTTGACGACTTTCACTGATGGCTTTGTGCCACTCAAGTACTTTGGTTCGTGATAGACTCCCGAAAACACTTGTGTAAGATATTCAACGATTCCGTAGCCGTCATTCGATCAACGATGAAAGTTAGAGGGGAGTTTTCTGTAAAGCGCTCTCTGTCAAGCATAATTTCAGACTACCGAATAATTGTATGTGGATTTAGGGACCTCCTGTAAGCTTGGCAAGCGTTGGTAAACAACTGGTTCCTGTGCGACTGCGAGTAGAACGAAGAAGAGCCATTGAACTACTTGCTTAAGGTTCATCTTGTCGTAATTTATCAATTGTTTGGAAGAAGGTACTGTCTCCCCCATTGTACAGGTTTTAAAAAGCTGAGGTTGAAACATCTCCCATAGTTTCGGCGAATCTGTAGAAATAGCCGAAATTGATATTAGCCGCCTCAACAACTTTGTGACATACTTAAATATTTGTCGATTTCTGAGTGTATTTACGATTAATACTTAAGCTAACTCAGTGAGGTCCTTATTGACTTTTGTCACAGAAAAGACTTTACAACCTACCGTATGAAAATATTGAATACAAATTATAATTTTACTTGATAGGCCTTTAATTAAATGTTCTTTGTGGACTTCCGCCAGATTATACACCATGCATCCATAAGCAACTCCAGCCAAAATGTCTTATAACCAGCAGCCAACAAAATTAAGCATATATTTGGATACTGAGATATTACAATGGTTTTAAAACGACATATGCATAAACTTGGGTTTGCTTGGTATAACCGCTTCATCGATTACTTATTCGTATTATTCGTTTATTAAATCTACATAATAATTCCAAATTCATGCAAGTGTAGCCAGTAAACTTCATAATGCAACCAGGATTAGCTTAATTTTACTAAATAGGGAACTCACAAACATTTCCCTTTTAACAATGATTTTCAGCCCCCTCCGTGTCAATTGGTTCGATCACACCTTTGGCTTACCAGCATTTCTTAGTCGTTACTACCTATAAATCGTATTGCAGTGTTCAAACACAACCAATTGACACATCAATTATTCACTGGAGATTAGAAGATTTATAAACACCTTTTGTTAAATTAATAATCAATACATAACGGCATTTGTGCTAAGATGTGCAACATTTTAATTAGATTGCCTGGTGGTGTGGTGAGCTTGTGAATAACTAATTAAGTATGCAAATATTCCCTTTTGCCTGTCGCTAGAGATGGGTAAGCCAGAAAGTATATTCGTTTATATTATATCGATACTTTTTCAACGGTCCGATAATTATATTGAGAAATATATTAAAATGGAAATAATTTATTTCTCTTAAAATATATCTGAAGGGTGGATAGCAAAATTATGGCGCCACTAGGGCAGCGAAGTTAACCCATTTCAACTCCTAAGCGGTAATTTAATTCCTGCTTTCCCATAAAAGGCTGTAGACTTATTTATCGACTTCGGAGAACTTTAATGAAGATATAATAGACTTTGTACTGTGAGATGAGTTCTCTTCTAGAAATCTTTGTATTTTCGTTTAGTCATTTCAGAGTCTTTTGAAGTCACCTTCAGATCGCGGCTTTAATATCTATTTGCGCTCTTTATCTGGGCTCATGCCTCATGGGTAGAGGGCTGATTATCCATTCCAGATAAAATATGCTAGATAGGTGACAAAACTTGACAATGACTCCATCGAAAGGCATTTCTCTTGCTAAAAGTTCAGTTAAAAAGTAGATTTTTTCGTTTACCTTAAAAATTCTGAACTTTTCGCTATACCCAAAGTTCAATACTGAAAAGGCGGCCTTCATAGGTATAACTCTGAAAAATAAAATTTGCTGCATATCCATGTGATTAAAAATATATTATACATATATATAAAAAATAATGAAAAGTCGATAAAAGCAAAATAATATATCGAAATATCCGACTTGAAATACTGATACCTTATAAAGCAATTTGTAGAAAAAAACTATAAAAAGTTGATGCATCGTTTATAAGATTTTTGACTTCACAGAGTATGTATTTATGTTTAAGAAAAGATTTTTGATATTTAGGCTAATCGCTATTTGTGTGCACACACCTATCGCTAACACACATATGTATACATATATATCCGACTTGCTTTAATACTTCAGTGTTGCTATTATAGCAAGCAATTAATTAAGAAAAAATAGCATTATATCAAAAATAAAGCCTTTCAAGGGCTTCGTTAAGTTATAAAATCGTAAATAAATATTTCGATATCTCTTGTATTAACATCATGCTTGCTGTATATCGAAATAATAATCGATAAATCGACGTAATATCGCAATGCAGCAAA